AGAATAGAATAAATAGAATAAATAGAATAGAATAGAATAGAATAGAATAGAATAGAATAGAATAGAATAGAATAGAAAACATGGAATGGAATGGAATGGAATGGAATGGAATAGAATAGAATAGAATAAGGAGAGAAGAGAAGACAAGACAAGACAAGAGAAGACAAGAGAAGAGAAAATAGAATAGAATAGAATAGAAAGAATAGAATAGAATAGAATAGAATGCAGAATATGGAAATTCTAAGTGATTTAGGACCCTTTTTCCCGCACTTATGACCATTGCAGCGTCCCCGTGGTCAGGTGATCAAAATTCAGACGCTTGATTGATGGACACACTGTTGTTAGACCCACGGTTCACGAATATATCAGCGTCAAAAATTCACAGACAAGCGGTCGTGAAGTCATGAGAAGAAAACCAATACATTTTCGGCAGATATTTTATTTCCGGCTGCAAAATTTGAGCGTAGGTTTAACGGAGGAATCGAACCCTGATCATAACGCTCCGATTTGCAGTAAAAGAAAAAACAAATATCAGCCAACATTTATAGTTGCGTGAAGAGATAGACCTTCGAAATCTTCAATTTTTTTTGGCATTGAAAAATGCAAGGAGACACCCCTCTCCCCTCCCCCACAGTTCAGCTGCTGTCACTCAAAGACAGACTGAGCCTCTCCGTGAATGTCCTGGTTATTACCCAGAGACAGATGGACTAATGAAGCGCGCAAACGGATCGTCTGCGGAATAAAATTCATATTTTGATTTTTTTGTTTTTAAATCGTCGAATTGGGCCGGTGCCAAGTTGTGGGTGGCTTTAAGGCAAGTGAAGACTCAAAATTCTTGCTGGCTGAATTTCCTTGCATTAAATGGACGGAATCCCAGTTTTTTTTTTCCTCCCCAGCTAGAAATTATGCAGGTAATTATGTAAGTCCCCGACTTACGACAATTCGTTTAGCGACAGAAGTAACTTAGGACCGTTTTTTCACACTTAATGACCATTGGGGCCTCCTCGCGATCATGAGATCAAAATTCACACGCTTGGCGACAGACTCGTATTTATGACCGTCACCTGAAGGTCTCTTCGGCGATCTTCCGACGAGCGAAGTCAAAAGGGAAGCCGGATTCGCCGAACAACCGGGTTTACTAACTTCACCACGGCGGCGAGTCACTTAACGACGGCGGCAAGAAAGGTCGTAAAACGGGAGAAAACTCACTTAACGAAAGTCTCGCTTAGCAAACCAAAATGCGGGGCTCCCTTCTTGTCGTAAGTCGAGTTGAATCCGTTGAATTGATAGATATATAGCATGAGGATGGTTAGCGCTCGGTCGAGGGTCCAAGAAAATGCCGAAGGCTTTTTGCGTTGTTGTGATTGTGTATCAGGGAACACAACTGGCCACAACTCCAGGTCTGCTCTTTGCCCGGAACACAACAGGAGGTTGAACGTTGGCCCTTAGTACATAATTTTTGCTAGAACAAATTGTCAAGCCTCTATTATCCACTTTTGGAAGGAGTGTGTGACTTTGTCAAGCGTGTTTCCTTTACAACGGGGTGACAAAATTGGGAAGGAAAAGCTCAGCAGAAACTTTACCCAGATATTTTTTCAGAGTAACGTTGGCTGCAGCTGGGGGAAAAAAAAGGGGGTGGGGGGCTTAATAAGCAATGTTGGGAACTGCAGCTATTCCTCCACTTGCGCCCACAACGGAGCTCCAATCTTATGATGCTACCTTCGAGGTCCCTTCCAACTCTATCCTGATTGATTGATTGATTGATTGATTGAAATGGTCTAGGGCTTCCTACTTGAGAAGGGGGTTGGACTTGAAGACCTCCGAGGGTCCCTTCCACTCTATCCTGATTATTGATTGATTGATTGATCGATCGATTGATCGAAATGGTCTAGGGTTTCCTACTTGAGCAGGGGGTTGGACTTGAAGACCTCGAGGGTCCCTTCCAACTCTATCCTGATTGATTATTGATTGATTGATTGATTGATCGATTGATTGAAATGGTCTAGGGTTTCCTACTTGAGAAGGGGGTGGACTTGAAGACCTCCGAGGGTCCTTCCAACTCTATCTGATTATTGATTGATTGATTGATCGATCGATTGATCGAAATGGTCTAGGGTTTCCTACTTGAGAGGGGGTTGGACTTGAAGACCTCCGAGGGTCCCTTCCAACTCTATCCTGATTATTGATTGATTGATTGATCGATCGATTGATCGAAATGGTCTAGGGTTTCCTACTTGAGCAGGGGGTTGGACTTGAAGACCTCCGAGGGTCCCTTCCCAACCCTATTCTGATTGATTGATTGATTGATTGATTGATTGATTCATTGATTGATCGAAATGGTCTAGGGTTTCCTACTTGAGCAGGGGGTTGGACTGGAAGACCTCTGAGGGTCCCTTCCAACTCTATCCTGATTATTGATTGATCGATCGATTGATCGAAATGGTCTAGGGTTTCCTACTTGAGAATGACTAGAAGACCTCCGAGGGTCCCTTCCCAACTCTATCCTGATTATTGATTGATGATCGATCGATCGATCGATCTGGTCTAGGGTTTCCTACTTGAGAAGGGGGTTGGACTAGAAGACCTCCGAGAGTCCTTCCAACATTCTGATTGATTGATTTGACTGACTGATTGATTGATTGATTAGAGTCTCCTGCTTGAGCAGGGGCTGGACTAGAAGACCTCCGAGGGTCCCTCCCAGCTCTATTCTGATGGATTGTTTGTACCTCCAAGCATTTCTGCTGCTGGTTCAGGACGGGTCCTTCCTCCTTCTCCATATAAGGCGCTTCCTGCCACTCAGGAGGTTGCAGGTTCAGCCTCCCAGCCCATTAACTCTCCCCCACCTCCTCCGTGACGCATGTATCCCCCCCTCCATCCTCCCCTCCCCGCAGCCCCTAGGCCAGGGTGGGGCCGAACGCAGCCAGAGGACACTCTGGCTCTGCTTCATTTTTAACAAGGTTTGTTTTTAGAGACTCAGAAATCTTCAGCGTTGAGTCACGTCCCACCAGTCGTTCTTTTAACTCCGATGCCACGGTGTGGATGTCACTTCGCTTCTGAATCACTCCGGAGCGAAAATTTCGATTCCCAGAAACGGCAGGAAAGATGAATCTCCCCATACCACACACCCCTCCCTCCCTCCCTCTCTCTCTTCCCAAAGAGTTCAGAGTATTTTCTGGCCTCTGATTTTTGCCAGACCAAGGGAGGAAATTCCAGTTTTTTCTGCTCTTGGGGCTGGTTTTTCACATTTGCGAACAAAAAGATAAAAATGGGGATATCTTCAACCTGTTTGGAGAGAGTGGGCCAGGGTAGCACCCTGTAGCCTAGGTGAGGAGTTATGGAGCGCCCACGACTTCTGGTGGCAAGTCGTTCCACTGATTAATAGAATAACAGAATTGGAAGGGACCTTGGAGGTCTTCTAGTCCAACCCCTGCACAAGCAGGAGATCCTAGACCTTTATCCCTCCATCAATCCCTCCATCAATCCCTCCATCAATCCCTCCATCCATCCATCCATCCATCCATCTATCCATCCATCCATCCATCCATCAATCCATCAATCAGAATAGAGCCGGAAGTGACCTTGAGGTCTTCTAGTCCAACCCCCTTTTCAAGCAGGAAACCTTAGACATTTTCAGATAGGTGGCTGTCTATTTTTTTCTTAAAAACCTCCAGTGTTGGAGCGTTCACAATTTCTGGTGGCAAGCAGTTCCACTTATCAATTCTTCTCACTGTCAGGAAAATTCGTTCTCAGTTGCTTCTCTCCTGGGTTAGTTCCCATCCGTTGCTTCTCGTCTTGACTTCTGGTGCTTTGGAGAATAGGTGGACCCCCTCTTCTTTGGGGCAGCCCCTCAAATATTAGGACACTGCTATCATATCACCCCTGGTTCTTTTAATTAAAGTAGCCATACCCCATTCCTGCAACCAAAATGACCGTCTTCAGGTCACTAAATGAATTGTGCTTAAGTCAAGGACTACCTGCATATATTACGTCTCGCTCATCGTCACTTACCAGTTAAGGATGTTAGATTTGGGGCTCCATTGTCACTAAATGAAACGGTTGTAAATCGAGGACTGCGTGTAATCCCTAAATCACATTAAGATGGGCAGGAAATGGAGCGTTTTAATTGATGAATGTTGACTAACAGAAGATGTCATTTGTCAGTTAGGCTAGCCGAGGTCAACATAAATAGAATAGAAGAAGAGGAGGAGGAGGAGGAAGAGAAGGAGAAGAAGAAGAGGAAGAGGAAGAGGAGGAGGAGGAGGAGGAGGAAGAGAAGAAGAAGAAGAAGAAGAAGAAGAAGAAGAAGAAGAAGAAGAAGAGAAGAAGAAGGAAGAAAGGAAGAGGAAGAGGAGGAGGAAGAGAAGAGGAAGAAGAAGAAGAAGAAGAAGAAGAAGAATAGGAGGAGGAGGAGGAGGAGGAAGAGAAGAGGAAGAAGAAGAAGAAGAAGAAGAAGAAGAAGAAGAGGAAGAGAAGAAGAAGAGGAAGAGGAGGAGGAGGAGGAGGAGGAGGAGGAAAAGGAGAAGAAAAGGAGGTGGAGGAGGAGGAAGAGAAAGAGAAGGGGAAGGAGAAGGAGGAGAAGGAGAAGAAGAAGAAGAAGAAGAAGAAGGAGAAGGAGAGGCACCCAACAAACTGCATTTTTCCAGCGCTTAGTTTTCACCCAGCTAAGCATCTAAATCAAATTTAACCCGGTTTGTTTGTCGAGTGATTCAGGCGTCCGCCGATCACGCTTCAGCTAATCAGTAACCAAGTTAAGTTCTATTGACAAACACACCACTTGCTCAACCCCTGAAGTCCCACGTAGGATATATAATCTGGGTGACAGGGCTAGTAAAAACCGTATCTAAAGTAAACGCGGCCTTTGAAAGTAAGGACAGAAGCCACGTTACAGAAATGTCTCCAAGGGATGCTCCTGGCTTATCCATCCACCCAAGAGGTGAGCGGATACTTTGTGATTTGCTGCCACCTGGTGGCAGAAACACTCAAATGGTCAATCCGCAGCGGGAAGGCGACTTCCACAAGAGAATCTTCAACTTACGACCAAAACGGAGCCCAAAAGTGATGTGGCTAAAGGGAGACATTGGATCAGCGAGCTTCGCTTTACGACTTTTCTCGCCGCGTTTGTTAAGCGAGTCACTGCATTTGTAAAGTGAGTCACACCAGTTGTTAAGTGGAGCCGGCGGAGAGAGGAGGAGAGAGAGAGAGAGAGAAAGAGAGGGAGAGAAGAAGGAGAGAGAAGGAGAAAAAGAAAGAGAGGGAGAGAAGGAGAAAAAGATGGAGAGAGGGAGAGATGGAGAAAGAGAGAGAGAAAGAGGACGAGAGAGAAGAGAGAGAAAGAGAGAGAGAAGGAGAAAGAAAGAGAAAAAGAGATTTTTACCAGAAGCATATACATACATACAGGGATAACATCATGCTCGTAAGTGTGAAAAACTGCTTTTAAGTCCCCTTTTTCAGTGCCGTTGTAACTTTGAACGGTCACTAAACAGAACCGTTGCAAATCCAGGACCCCCTAATGATCAAAGCAAGGCGGGAAAAAAAAAACATCTCATAAATCCCGGACAAAAGCAGCCGTTTTCTCCAATATCTCCATCCCGGCTGGAAACCGGATGAAATTCATATAACAGATATTGATGATGCCGTGAAATCCTTGCTCGGCATGAAACCAGGAGACTTTCACCCCGTTGTCCTCCAGCCGTTTCTTGTACAACAACGAGTCGTCCCGCAGCACGTCGTACTCGCAGCTGACGATAAAAGTCTCCGGGAACCGCCTTAAAGTGTCGTCTTCGACGAAGAGGGACGAAAACGTGGCGTGGAGGAGATTCGGCACTTGGTCGTGGACCTCCGGCTTGAATTGTCCCAACGGACATCTCTTGTACCCCCGCCGTTTAAATCGTTCGGGGATGTTGTCCAAACTGAGCCATTTCTCGAACTTCTGTCGAAGTTCGTCCGGTACGTGACAACCCTTCATGATATCGTTGGTCAACGCGGAATCTTTCAAGAGGAACTTCAGCCCGTAGAACACCACGCTCTCTTGGAACAAGATGGGGATGGACGCGTTCTGCTGGTACGACGGGAGGTTGAAGTCCAGAGCTTGGAGACCCGGGTAGATCAGGGCGTGAGCGCGGATTTTGGGGAGGTCCGGACGTCTGAGAAGTTCTTGGGTGATGACGGTGGCGAAGTTGCCCCCCGCGCTGTCCCCGCCGATGACGATCTGCGAAGAGTCGACGCCGTGGTCCTCGGCGTGTTTCATGAAGTGGACGGTGGCGGTGAGACAGTCCTCCCACTGAGCGGGGAAAGGGTGCTCCGGGGACAGGCGGTAGCTGGAAAGACACCAGGGAGTAGAGTTACGGGACGGAATGATTTGGAGCTGACGACGGGGGGCGGGGGCGATCTTTGGGGCGCTCTGAGCTCGGGGGTTTCCCTGCAGACGTTGTGTGTGGAGGTAGATGAAGAGAGGAAACATCCCTCCCTACCTCCTAGCACTGAGGATGTTCCCTAGTTGGGTGATAAAACGTCTGCAAGAAAACCACCAAGCTCAGTGACCACCAAGGGCCCCACAGTTCTCCTCCTCCTCCTCCTCCTCCTCCTCCTCCTCCTCCTCCTCCTCCTCCTCTCCCACTCCCTCCTAGCACTGATGATGTTCTCTAGTTGGGTTATGGAATGTCTGCAAGAAAACCACCAAGTTCAGAGAGCCCCAAGGACACAGACACACAGTCTCCTTCTCCTTCTCCTTCTCCTTCTCCTTCTCCTTCTCCTTCTCCTTCTCCTTCTCCTTCTCCTCCTCCTCCTCCTCCTCCCTGTAAACTCCCCTCCCTTCTAACACTGATGAAGTTCCCTAGTTGGGTACAGGTAGCCTTGGACTTACAACAGTTTGTTTAGTGACCGTTCGAAGTTTCAACAGCACCGAAAAAAGTGACCTGGGACCGTTTTTTCACACTTACGACCATCGCAGCATCCCCCGTGATCAAAATTCATACACTCGGCAACGGACTTCTATTTAATGACGGTCGCAGTGTCCCAGGGTCACGTAATATTCCCCTTTTGCGATCGCTAAACCAACTGTCGTAAGTTGAGGACTTCCCGTACAGGCTAGCTTCCTCTTGAGAATCCGAGCACCTCCGTTTCCACGGGATCGACCGTCAACTCACCCAACCACGACCACCACGGCTTCACTCTCCTTCGCAAGTTTGCTGGTGATATCTTCGTAGTAATCTGGGAGAAGTGAGATGAAGGGATGTGTAATAATCAAATCATTCAACGGCAGCAACAGGAAAGTTTTCCTGCAAAGCTGACTTTGCGGGAAACTGGAAAATGGTGATATATATATATATATATATAGTTTTGAGGGTTAGAAGGAGAAAAAGAAAAAAACAGATTATAGAAAAAACATAAAAGGATGCCAGAACTCTAGAGCAAGGGGCACGTTTATATTTAGAATTGTTGCGAAGGAAAATGGAGAGAAAATTGTGTTTTTACATTTGCTTTCTTTGTTTTCTACACCGTGTCTTTTCCTTCCTTCCTTCCTTCCTTCATTTCCTTCCTTCCTTCCTTCCTTCCTTCCTTCCCTTTTCTCTCTATCTTCCTCTCTCTCTCTATCATCTATTTTCTATCATTTACAATATCTACTTTCCATCCATCCATTTCTTTCCTTCCTTCCTTCCTTCTTTTTCTCTATCTCCCCTTTCTCTCTCTCTCTATCTTCTATGGTATTATCTACAGTATACTTACTATCCCTCCATTTTTTTCCTTCCTTCCTTTCCTCCCTTCTCCCTCCCTCCCTCCTTCCTTCCTTTTTCTCTCCATCTTCCTCTTTCTCTCTCTATCATCTATCATTTACAATATATATTTTCCGTCCATCCATTTTTTCCTTCCTTCTTTTCTCTCTCTCTCTCCCCTTTCTCTCTCTCTCTCTAGTTATCTTCTACGGTATTATCTACAGTATACTTTCTATCCCTCCCGTTTTTCCTTCCTTCCCCCCTCCCTCTTTCCTTCCGTTCCTTCCTTCCTTCTTCCCTCCCTCCTTCCTTCCTCCCTCCCTCCCTCTCTCTCTCCTTCCTTCCTCCCTCCTTCCTTCCTCCCCCCTCCCTCTTTCCTTCCATTTCTTCCTTCCTTCTTCCCTCCCTCCTTCCTCCCTCCTTCCTTCCTTCCTCCCTCCCTCCCCCTTCTCCCTCCCTCCCCCCCTCTCTCTTTCCTTCCTTCCTTCCTCCTCCCTCCCTCCCTCCTTCCTCCCTTCCTTCCCCCATAATTATCCCCCATCATTTTTCTCATTCTCCTCCTGGACACGTCAAGCCAGCCGTTATCAATTTATCGATCGATTTAAGAACGTCAGAAGCTTCTCCCACTTACGGATGCTACCAATCATGCCAGCTCCTCCGTGGTAGAAAACGAAGCCTTTTCTCCGACCGGACCACGGGGATTTGGGATAATAAACCCGGACAGGAATCCCGTCGAAGAAGAAATCTCTTGCGGAAACCCCAGGATGGATCTTGGATTTCTTCAAACGTATCAGGAAGCGAATGAAAGTGACTTGCCTGCATAAATGCAGGACTTCCAAAGTCTTCCCCTGTTTTCGAAAAAAGGAGGAAAAAAGTCAAAAAGGATTTGGGGGAGCCTCTTTTTTTTTTAAAAAAAAAATAGAAGTTGGGGTCCCCGACTGGAAGGGACCTCGGAGGTCTTCTAGTCCAGCCCCCTGCTCAAGCAGGAGAACTGCCTAGACCATTTCAATCAATCAATCAATCAATCAATCAATGAGAATACAGCTGGAAGGGACCTTGGAGGTCTTCTAGTCCAACCCCCTGCTCAAGCAGAGACCTTATACCAACCCAGTTAAATGTTTCTTCAGTCTCTTCTTGAAAATGACGAAGCACCCACAATTTCTGGTGGCAAGCAGTTCCACTGGTGAATTGTCCTCACTATAATTTCTCTTTAATTCTAGCTTGCTTCTCTCCTTGGTTAGTTTTCCATCCGTTGCTTCTTGTCCTGCCTTCTGGTGCTTTGGAGAATAGCTTGACCCCTTCCTCTTCTTTGGGGGCAGCCCCCTCAAATATTGGAAGATGCTATCATGTCCCACCTAGTCCTTCTTTTCTCTAGACTAGCCAAGCCCAATTCCTGCAACCGTTCTTCGTACGATTTCGTTTCCAGCCCTTTAATCATCATTAATTGCTTACTCTTAAACCACGACTGTCGCTTTGAAAAACAATAGTAGACTTACCAGCGTGAAGAGCACCACAATGCACACATGAAGGAAACGCAACTTCAGGGGTTGCTGAAATCCAGGCGGGATCTTCGTCCGCGTGAAATCGTAATAAATGCCCCAGCAGACCAGGAGTAAAATCGCCATTCCTAGGGTCACTCCTGCGCCGAAGAGAACGTCCGAAAAAAATCCCATTTTTGGGGGGGATAGCCGATAAACAACGCCAAGACCGAGAGAGCAGAGGCCACAAGGTGATGGAAGTTCTCCTCAAATCGTGGAGTTGTTTGGGAAGTGATTCTTGGCTTCTGCACCCACATGTGGAGAAGCAGAATTTCCATCCATGGGATAATTATGCCCGAGGAGGCGGCTTCCAACAATGTTGGATGGAATGTGGAAGTCACCGAGATGCCTACTTTGGTTGTAGGCCAGAAGATAGGGAGTCCTCCCCACTCCCTTCCTACACATGACCCAAAACATGGTCACAACATCACTTCTCAATCCCAATAGAGATGGAAGGGATCTTGGAGGTCTTCTAGTCCAACCCCTTGCTCAAACAGGAGACCCTAGCTTAGACAGTTCCAGACAAGTGACTGGAAGTTGATAGTACCACGTTATACCACACTGGTGAGGCCACGCGTGGAGCACTGCATCCAGCCCTGGACACCACACAACATAAATAAATGGTGGGATCCTATCAAGTAGGTATAGAAGAGCAACGAAGACGGGGTAGAGTTCAAACCATATCAAGAACGGTTGCTGGAATTGGGGGCGTCTAGTTTCATGAAAAGAAGTTCTGGGGAGGGGACATGATATTTGAGGGGCTGCCCCAAAGAGGAAGAGGAGGGGGGTCCACCTGTTTTCCAAAGCCCTGGAAGCCAGGATGAGAAGCAACGGATGGAAACTCATCAAGGAGAGAAGCAACCTGGAACTAAGGAGAATTTTCTGACTGTGAGGACGATTAATCTGTGGAAGGACTTTCCTCCAGAAGTTGTGAGTTGCTCCATCATTGGAGGTCTTCAAGAGGAGACTGGATGGCCATTGAAACAGAATGGTGTAGGATCTCCTGCTTGAGTAAGGGGTTGGACTAGAAGACCTCCAGGGTCTCGTGCAGTCTTAGGATTCTATGATGGATGGATGGATGGATGGATGGATAGAAGATGGATTGATTGATGGATAGGTAGGTAGGTAGGTAAGTTGGTAGATAGATAGATAGATAGATAGATAGATAGATAGATAGATAGATAGATAGATAGATGGGATGGATGGGATGGATGGATAGAAGATGGATTGATTGATGGATAGGTAGGTAGGTAAGTTGGTAGATAGATAGATAGGTAGATAGATAGATAGACAGATAGATGGGATGGATAGATGGATGAATAGGTAGGTAGGTAGGTAGGTAGGTAGGTAGGTAGGTAGGTAGGTAGGTAGACGGACGGATGGATGGATAGATAGATAGATATATAGATAGGATTCATGACAGAGGGAGGGAGGCAGAGAGGAAGGAATGGATGGATGGATGGATGGATGGATGGAAGATGGACTGATGGATAGGTAGATAGATAGATAGGTAGATAGATAGATAGATAGATAGATGGGATGGATGGGTAGGTAGGTAGGTAGGTAGATGGATGGATGGATGGATGGATGGATGGATGGATGGATGGATGGATGGATGATGGATGGATGGATGGATGGATGGATGGATGATAGATGATAGATGATAGATGATAGATGATAGATGATAAATGGATGGATGGATAGATAGATAGATAGATAGATAGATAGACAGATAGAGGAAGGAATGGATGGATGGATGGATGGATGGATGGGTGGGTGGAAGGAAGGAACAGGTTGCCTCTAGAAGTTGTGGCTGCTCCATTACTGGAGGTTTTGAAGAAGAGATTGGAACACCGTTTGTCTGAAATGGTGAAGGGCTTCCTGCTTGAGCAGGGGGTCAGACTAGAAGACCTCCAGGGTTCCTTCCAGCCTTCCAGATTTCTATGATTCAAGTGGCCATGAGGAGATGCTTCAACCGCTGGAATTACATGTTGATAGATTTTTTTTCTCTCTCTCTCTCCGTTTCCATTTTTTGAATTTTTCTTAACAACGATGGTTTATATTTTGGTAATTATTGTTTTGCAACGAGTGTTTTTATATAATGGTTTTATTTAATTGCTGTACACCGCCCAGAGCGGCTTCTGCTTAGATAGGCGGATATATAAACTTGATTAGCAAATAAATAAATACTTGCCATTGTTGTGAATGTTATCAGAGCATTCTTTTGCAAATCAGAAGGGCGGGTACCTTTATTTGCCCAGCCTGTTCAAGGCACGAAAAAGTTTGGGAACATTTTTTTTAATATCCGAAACTGGGTGGTAGAGAGAAGGTAGCATATAAGTACTCGTCTAGTTACGACCACAATTGAGCCCAGCATTTATGTTCTTAAGCGAGACATTGATTAAGTGAATTTCCCCCCCTTTCCTTGACTCAGTTGTTAAGTGAGAAAGAGAGAGAGAGAAAGAGAGCGACAAAGAGAGAGAGAAAGATAGAGAGAGGAGAAATGGAGAGAGAAAGAGAAACAGGGAGAGAGAGAAGGAGAGAAAGAAAGAGAGAGAGAGAGAGGAGAAAGAGAAAGAGAGAAGAAGAAATGGAGAGAGAGAGAGAAAGAGAGAAAGAGAAACAGAAGGGGGGAAACAGGGAGAGAAAGAAGGAGAGAGAGAAAGAGAGAGAAAGAGAAATGACAAAGAGAAAAAGAAAGGGGAGAGAAAGAAAAAGAAAGAGAGAGAGAGAGCGACAAAGAGACAGAAAGAGAGAGAGGAGAGAGAAACGAGGAGAGAGAGAAAGAGAAAAAGAGAGGGGGAAAAAGAGAAAGAAAGAGAGAGAAAGAGAGAGAGAAACAGAAGAGAGAGAAAGAGAGAGAGAGAGAGAGGAGGAGGGAGAGAAACGGGAGAGAGAGGAGAGAGAGAAAGAGAGAGAGAAGGAGAGAGAGGAGAGAGAGAGAAAGAGAGAGGGAAACAGGAGGAGGGAGAGAGAGAGAGAGAAACAGAGGGGGAGAGAGAGAAGGAGAGAGAAAGAGAAAAGGGAGAAAGAGAGAGAAAGAGAGGAGAGAATGAGAAAGAGAAAAAGAGAGAATGAAGAAGATTTTTAGAAGCATATATATGTATCTGCTAAATATATGCATACATACATATACACACATATACATATACATATACATATACGTGTGGGGGGGGGAATCCAAATTGTTTTACTACCGGTTCTGTGGGCGTGGCAAAGGCCCTCCCTCCCTCTGTCGTCCTTTCTTTCTTTTCCAACTCCCAGGTGAACAGGTTCCCTTATCTTCTACCTGTTTTTGCTCCCGTTCCTCCTGCCATTTTTTCACGGTTAGCGTCTCACCTCCTCCTATCTTGACATCTTTACACCAAGTGGTAATTTGTGGATGCTGACAGGATAACCCGCCTACGTCCCAGCGCCCTGCCGCACACCGACTTCCTTCTGACGGAGGCGTAAACCCCAGGACCAAAAAAAAAAAAGGAGGGAAGGAAAAAAAAATAAAGGAACAATGCATTTCTCCTGCAATTTTCCTTACTCGTACGTAACCACCTGGCTCAGTGAAGTTGGCATTCGTAGGTTGGCATCAGAAATAGAGAAGAGGAGAGAGAAACGAGGAGAAAGAGAAAAAGAGAGGGGGAGAAAGAGAGAGAGAGAGACAGAGAAACAGGAGAAAGAGAAAGAGAGAGAAAGAAAGTGATAAAGAGAGAAAGAGAGAGAGAGAGGAGAGAGAAACGAGGAGAGAGAAAGAGAAAAAGAAAGGGGGAGAAAGAGAGAGAGAGAGAGAAACAGGAGAGAGAGAAACAGAGAGAGAGAAAGAAAGCGACAAAGAGAGAGAAAGAGAGAGAGAGAGGAAGAGAAACGAGGAAGAGAAAGAGAAAAAGAGAGGGGGAGAAAGAGAAAGAAAGAGAGAGAGAAAGAGAGAGAAACAGGAGAGAGAGAAAGAGAGAGAGAGAAAGAAAGCGACAAAGAGAGAGAGAGAGGAGAGAGAAACGAGGAGAGAGAGAAAGAGAAAAAGAGAGGGGGGAGAAAGAGAAAGAAAGAGAGAGAGAAAGAGAAGAAACAGGAGAGAGAGAACCCATCCTTTATTCACTCAGGGACCGTTCAAAGTTTAGATGAAAGTTTCTTCACACTTAATGACATCCCCCCCCCCGTGGTCACGGGCTCCAAATTCAGACGCTTTGGCACCTGTCTCGCATTTATGACAGTCGCCGCATCCCGGGGGGGTCACGCGATTCCCTTTTTGCAACTTTCTGACGAGCAAAAGTCAACGGGGGATGAATTAGGTTTCATTTAACAACCGTGTGTCTCACTTAACAACGATGGCCGCTCCGAGGTGCCAAATAGAAATACATGCTGTTTTTCCAGAACAAGGAAGGCAGTAGAGCAGGGACGGTTAAATCGAATACTTGATTTAAAGAGGGAAATGTGTTTGTTTTTTTAAATTTGGGTATCGCGTCTGGAATTTGGGCTTGTGAAGAAGAAGGAAAATGATGAAACTTTGATGAAAGCATTTTTTTCTACAACCTTTTCGGCCAAAGAGGTTGTAGAAAAAATAAATAAATGCCTTTAAAAGCCTCTGGCGATCCCAGTTGATTGCCTGATCGTCAGAGGCTTCTAAAAGCATTGCTTTTAAAAGTAAAAAAAAAAAAAAAGTTGGCCACGCCCACTGTCACATTACCCCAGCACCAAGCCACGCCCACAAAATAAGCCACGCCCACAGAACTGGTAGTAAAAAATTTTTAGACCCCACCCCTGCCGTGCTTCGCTACGAAACTATGAAACTTGATAAATTGACACTTGCAGCCTGAAACTTAATGTAGAATGTGTAACTCCGTAGCATCAGAGTGTGTTAATACAATGCAACTGGCAGTTGGAACAGAGGCGGAGGGGAAGTAGAATGTCCCAGCCCGCAGCATCCATCATATTCATCTGGCTAGCATCCTGTCAGTGTGGTGAGAGAGTTGAGGGGTATTTGGAAACTCAAACTGTATTTGCTGTGTGAGCAAGGAGGAGACAGGAAGGAGGCTTAGCTCAACTGTTCTGCAGTAAAGCTGCTTGCTGCTGTGAAAGTAAAACTGAAAGTGAAACTCCTCTCCTCTGCTTGTGTTTTGCATTTGGAAGAGATTTCTTTTGAGGTGGGGAGGATGAGTAGAACTCCTTAGCAACAGAGCGTGTTAATAATAATATAGGAAATACTAATGCTCTGATGGTCATTTCGAAAAATCCTTTCATAGTGAGCACCTGGAAGCCAATTTAATTTAATTTAATTAATTTATATTTCCAATTTATATACCGCCCTTCTCCCTGAGGACTCAGGGCAGTGTACAGCCAAGATAAAAAACATAGAATACAAATATTAAAACATTTAAAAATATATATAAAATTTGGCCTGAAAGTTAAGAATCACAGACTAATTAAAAGAATTTAAAAATTTCTTCTTAAGCCAACCCGGACTCACAGAGCCAAGAGGAACATACATGGCAAATTTCAAGTTGTAGGCTTTACGGTTCTGGAGATTGTATTGTATTTCACACACTCCTTTTCCCGTCCCCTTCCCCACCCTTAATTTATTATCTTTTCTTTTTTTTTTTTTTGTATTTTATACACTAAAAAAATAAAAATGATTAAAAAAAACAACAGCAGCGGCCAGAAAAGTCGTAAAATGAGACAAAACTCCCTTAAAAAAATGTCTCCCTTGGCAAGATAAATTTGGGGCTCCATTGTGGTCGTACCTGTGGTGGAGGTGGAGCTCTCGCCTCACCATCGGGAGGCGGTGAGTTCGATCCTAGGTAGAGGCTGATATTTCTCTCTCTGGGCACAACGGGAAATAGATCTGCCGAACAAAACTCCGCACTGGCGACAGGAAGGGGATCCGGCCAGTAAAACATTCTGCTAGCTCCGTTCAGTTGCCCAGACTCCACCCACGCAAAGGATTACGGGGTCGTTAAAAGAAGATGAGGATTGTGCTTGTACCTGTATATGATCAAAAGGACACAACTTACAAAGAATCCATTTGAAAAGAAAGAAAGAAAAAAAGAATAAGAAACTAGGACATCCATCCAAATTCTGGCCACGCCCGGAATTATTTTGGTGCAGATTTTGACCCATAACTGATTTGCAATCTCGTCGTGCAACTTCGGGTCAAAAGGAGGACAGACCAGAAAGCTGAAAATATTAAATATACTGTATCCTCTTTTTGCACCAAGAGGTGTACTCTTAACACATTTGCATGTCTATAATTTGAGGTTTGCTACAACGGAAACCATGCTGCACCGCCCAGGCCAAGGGCTTCCGTCACTCACTAGCCAGTGTCCAAGAGGAGGGAGATTTCATACACATAGTCCTTGAGTTACAACAGTTCCATTAATGACCATTCGGAGTTGAGATGGCACTGAAAAAAGGGACTTTACGGCTGCTGTTCACACTTAACGACCGTCGCAGGATTCCCAGGGATCAAAATTCAGACGCATGGCAACAGTCTTCGTATTTATGACGGTTGCAGTGTCACGCGATCCTCATTTTGCGACCTTCCGGCGAGGAAAGTCAAAGGGGAAGCTGGATTCAGTTAACAGCCGTGTTACTAACTGAACAACTGCAGGGATTCACTTAACAACAGGTTGTAAAATGGAGCAAAATCCACTTGACAAATTTTTCGCTTAGCAGCAGAAATTTTGGCCTTGACTGTAAGTCAAGGACTGACTGTACCAGTCAATCAACTGTGAGGTTCTCTTGATTTTATCCATCCTCTTTTTGCAATCCACACCATTCTTCATAAATAGCCTGGAGAATTAAGGAACTTTTCTTTCTCTTTTTAAAAAGAATTAACGTTGAAGCAAATGTGATATATTTGTCTAGATAGCCAGCAGCCCAACTCCGAAGCAAGTGGCTCAGGCCAGACTCCAGCAAATGTAAAGCAATCGATATCTCATATGGTGAAATATGAAAAGCATTAACATATATATTTTTGTTTATTTATTTATTTATTTATTAAATTTGTATACCGCCCTACTCCCGAAGGACTCAGGGCAGTGAACAGGCACAAAATAAAACACATAAATAGGAAAGTTAAAACATGATTAAAACCTAATTAAATTATTTTTGCCCGAGACAATTTAAAACTCCCAATAATTTAAAACAAATTAAAATTTGAGTTTAAAAATTTGAAAGAAGGGGAGAAAATTAGGCCAGGCCGGCCTGCTGGAATAGGAGTGTCTCTTCTGATATATATATATCAAAAGAGCTAAAACCAGATTTTTATTTATTTAATCTAATTTACGTAGCCACCCATCTAACTAAACTTTCTGATTGGGTCAGTTCCCTTTGCTGGCTAAGCCGCTGGTTGCCACTAGATGGCGCTCAAGGATTGTAAATTCATGAAAATTTCGGTCAGCACTGTATAACTTCCTAGCAGTTGAAGAAAGGGAGGGAGGGAGGAAAGGAAGGAAGGAGGGAAAAGAAAGAAAGAAAGGAAGGAAGGAAGGAAGGAAGGAAGGAAGAAAAGAAAAGAAAAGAAAAAGGAAGAGAGAAAGAAAGAAAGAGGAAACAAGGGAGGGAGGGAGGAAAGAAAGAAAGAAAGAAACAGGAAGAAAGAAAGAGAAAGAGAGAAAGAAAAAGAAAAAGAAAAAGAAAGAGGGAGGGAGGAAGGAAAGAAAGAAACAAAGAAACAGGAAGAAAGAAAGAGGAAAGTGAGAGAGAGAGAGAAAGAAAGAAACAGGAAGGAAGGAAGGAAGGAAGGAAGGAAGAAAAAGGAAGAGAGAAAGAAAGAAAGAGGGAGGGAGGAAAGAAAGAGAAAGAGGAAGGGAAGGAGGAAAGAAAGAAACAAAGAAAGAGGAAGAAAGAAAAAGGAAAGTGAGAAAGAGGGAGAGAGAGAAAGAAAGAGGGAGGGAGGAAAGAAAGAAAGAGGAAGAAAAAAAAGGAAAGTGAGAAAGAGGAAGAGAGAGAGAAAGAAAGAGGGAGGGAGGAAAGAAAGAGGAAGAAAGAAAGAGGGAAAGTGAGAAAGAGAAAGAAAGAAAGAAAGAAAAAGGAAGGAAGAGAGAAGGGGAGGAGGGGAGGAGGAAGGAAGGAGAGGAAGGAAGGAAGGGAAGGAAGGAAGAAAAAAAAAACACACAGTGGAGTACAATACTCAATTACATGTATGTACATTTATTTATTTAAAATATCGTTCATCGAATATCAGAAAAAATTAAGTCATTTCCCCCTTCTTTCTGAGCTTGGCTGCTAAGTTGCAATTGAAATCAACATAAAACAAGGCAGACCAGAAACAGGCTTGGGAAAAAAAACCCCAGGATTTTCCATGCCAAAGTTAATAGTTCATCTTTTAAAAGTTGACCTTAAAAAGCGATAAAAAAATTAACCCAGCCCTCTTGTTTTGCTGTCTGGTCTGAGTTTGACGGATCTTCCGGCATTTTTCACCCAAGAAATAAAACATAACTTTTCTGGATTTCTTTTGAATAAAGATAACATCACACACATTTCTTATTTGTGTATATTTCAGTACATGATTTTTTTTTTTGAATTGCAGAAGCCGATTAATTTTAATAAAAAGCATTTACGGGACAGGCAGGCAGTCCTTAAGTTACGAAGCTCAATTGAGCCCAACAGTTCTGTTGCTGAGCGAAGCAGTTGTGAAGAGAATTTTGCAATTTCTAATTTACGCCCTTTCTTGCCAGGGTTGTTAAGTGAATCACTGCGGTGAGCCACACCGTTACTAAGTGAATCCCCCCTCGACTTTGCCCATCAGAAAAATCACAAAAGGGAACTCCCGGAGAACACGGCAACCGTCATAAATATGAGTCAGTTGCCAAAACGGCTTGATTTCGATCCCGTGACCCTAGGGAACAACGGTCGTAAAGTGCGAAAAATGGTCGTAAGTCCCTTTTTCCGGTGCTGCTGTAACTTCGAGCGCGGTCACTAAACGAACGTCTGTAAATCCAGAACTACCTGTATTGCCCTTAATATTAAAAAAAAAGAAAGCATTTTTAAAAAAAGTTCGTTTGCTAAAACTCCACATTTTTAATGTCTCGCAATCTCACGATGGAATTAATCCGGTTGAGAAAAACAGTCCGGGGAAAAAAAATATATCTATATAAATGTATTTTCTCTTTAGCCAGGTTCTTCCGACGTAAACCAAGATTTTTATGCAGGAAAAATTTTACGTAGCAAGAACCTGGCTAAAGAGAAATACACATAAAGCCTATGAAAAGGGAAAGAAAACAAATCTATATAAATATATATATATATATAAATCTTGCAGCAAAGTCTGGTTGGAAAGATTAGCTTTAAAAGGAGGGGGAAGGGGCAGGAAAAACAGCAGCTCAACAAACAAGATAAGTGGGGCTTACGACATTAAACTCCCTTCGGCCAGAGATAAAGGAAGGGTTGCAAAAGTTTTTCGGGTTTTTTGTTTTGCATTTCCTGCTGGACCGGCCCCCAGGAAATTCAGAATTGGGAATGGCTCGCTTTAAAACTGGGATCTTTGAAAATAAGAAAACTCTAAATGGACAAGACTGTTCCCTCCCGGATCCTGGCTTGATCAGCCTCTGAACCTGGCTTGTTGTGAGCTCACGGTGAAGCTGCAAGGCCTGGTTAAAACCCAAGTGTAGGACGTTTCGGACAGAATCACAGGCTCGGAAGGGACCTCGGGAGGTCTTCTAGTCCAACCCCCCTGCTCAGTCAAGAGACCTTAGACCATTTCAATCAATCAAAATCAATCAGAATAGAGCTGGAAGGGGCCTTGGAGGTCATCTAGTCCAACCCCGCCTCCCCGTGCTCAAAGCAGACCCTCAGGTCAAAGGAAGGAGCCAAGAGCCCAGGGTTCAAATCCTCCATCCGGCTTGAGTTTGTTTTTCCAACCTTGGCAAGTTTAAGAGCCTTCAATTTCCCCCCCCAGCTGGGGGCATTCTGGGAGTCGAAGCCCACCTCTCTTAAAAAAAAATCGGGGAGGGGGAAAAACACTGCTGTATAAGCACCGGACCCCCTCCCCAAAGAAACCCCCCTCTTCCCCCCTACCCTAATTGAAAAGAGCTTCAGAACCAGCGGGGCTGGCCCACCCAGCTGGGGAAATGAGGGTCTGGGGAGAGACCCCCAGGCGGTGGGTGGGAGGGAGGATGGGGAGGGGGCGCAGGAGAGCGAGAGGGGAGACTGTGCAGGACCTGCGGCGGGCGCCCGCTTGCAAAAGCCTTCTTTTTGCCAAGGAGAGGCGGGGAGATCTTTGGGGGAGGAGGAGGAGGAGGAGGAGGAAGAGGAGGGCGAGCCCACCCACCCCCAGCTGGTCCAGGCAGGCAGGCAAGGAGAGAGGGAGGGGCAGGCAGGCAAGCAGGCGGGGCTTCCCCACCCCCTCCCCTCCCTTCTTGGCTGTCACTCCGCGCTGCTTTATAAAAACCTGCTCCGCCAAGAGCTCAATTCGGAGTCAAGCCCGATCCGCAAGAGCCGAGCCTTGCAGGCGCCCCTTCCCCATTTCGGGTGCTTCCTCCAGAGGAGGGGGGGGGCTACTCCTCCTGCCCCGAGAGACCCTCCTGTTTTTTTTGGGGGGGGTCTCCAGAAAAGAAGAGACCCCCGCCGGGGCTTTCCTGCGAAACTCACTCGGGGGGGTCTCTCCGGCTTGGTTAAGTGGGGAGGGGGAGTCAGCTTGGTTAAGTGGGGAGGGGGGGGTCTGTTGGGACGCGGGGAAGGAGGGGAGGGGGAGTCGGCTTGGCTAAGTGGGAGGGCCCCGCAGCCCAAAAAAAAAAAAGAGGGGGGGTCTCCACTCTCCAGGATGGGTTGGGGCGTCTGGGGGCGTCGCTGCTGCTCTTGGCCGGCCAGATGTTGCTCCAGACGGTCAGGGCGCTTCTGGGACGCTTCTTGCCGGCCCGAGCCCGCGATCTGACCGCCGACTGCGTCCTCATCACCGGCGGAGGACGAGGCATCGGGCGCGCCCTGGCTCGCGAGTTCGCCCGGCGCGGAGCCCGCAAGGTGAGAGGGGCTTAAAAGAAAAAAAAAGGCAGGTGCGGGGAAGGGAAGGGCTCGACCCCCCCAAGACCCTCCTCTAGGGAGCCCCCTTTTTTTAATGGGGAGGGGGTCCCCTCCCCTAATCCCGGGCCAAACAGGGTGACACCCCCCTCCCCAAATAATAAAGAAAAGTTGCTTGAAACTTGTCCCGGAAACTTCTCCAAACGCGCTTTCCCCACTTTCCCCAACTAACCGGTGAGAAGAAGGAGCCCGGGGAACGGCTTGCCACCGGATGAAGTTGCGGGGGGGACGGGGGTGGGGGTGGGGCTTCATCCCTGGAGGGTTGTTTTTTTGTTTTTGTTTTTTTTTAAAGAGAGGATGGACAGCCACCTGTCTGAATTGGTCTGGTCTAGGGGGTCTCCTGCTTGAGCAGGGGGGTTGGGCTAGAAGACCTCCCGAGGTCCCTTCGAGATCTATTCTGGTTTGGGTTGGTTAGTTGTGATCTAGGATCTCCTGTTTGAGAAGGGGGTTGGACTAGAAGATCTCCAAGATCCCTTTCAGTTCTATGCTGATTTGATCGATCGATTGATTGATTGATTGATTTGATCTAGGATCTCCTGTTTGAGCAGGGGGTTGGACTAGAAGACCTTCAAAGTCCCTTCCGGCTCTTTTATTTTGTATTTCCTTCCTTCCTTCCTTCTTTCCTTCCTTCCTTCCCTCCCTCCCTCCCTCCTTCCTTCCTTCCTTCCTTCTTGAGCAGAGGGTTAGAGTAGAAGAGCTCCAAGGTCCCTTCCACCTCTTTTATTCTGTATTTCCTTCCTTCCTTCCTTCCTTCTTTCCTTCCTTCTCTCCTTCCTTCTCTCCTTCCTTCCTTCCTTCCTTCCCTCCTTCTTTCCTTCCTTCCTTCCTTCCTTCCTTCCTTCCTTCTTCCTTCCTTCTTTCCTTCCTTCTCTCCTTCCTTCTCTCCTTCCTTCCTTCCTTCCTTCCTTCCTTCCTTCTTTCCTTCCTTCCTTCCTTCCTTCCTTCCTTCCTTCCTTCCTTCCTTCTCCTTGAGCAGAGGGTTAGACTAGAAGACCTCCAAGGTCCCTTCCACCTCTTTTATTCTGTATTTCCTTCCTTCCTTCCTTCCTTCCTTCCTTCTCCTTGAGCAGAGGGTTAGACTAGAAGACCTCCAAGGTCCCGTCCACCTCTTTTATTCTGTCGTTCTAATCCCAAACCAGGGGAACAGTTTGCCACCAGGAGTTGCGGGTGCTCCATCACTGGAGGTTTTAAAGAAGAAATTGGATAACCATTTGTCTTTAAATGCTCTGGGGGGGGTCTTCTTCTTGAGCAGGGGGTTGGACTAGAAGACCTCCAAGGTCCCTCCGAGAATGAGAACCTCATTTCTTGGAGAATGAGACCTTCAATCAATCAATCAATCAATCAATCCATGCTGATTGATTGATTGAAGGTCTCAATTAGGGTATTACTTTGGGGTTGTCTCCTTTGCACCTCAAAATAACAGATGGACAGAGTCGGAAGGGACCTTGGAGGTCATCTAGTCCAACTCCTAAACCCAAGGAGGAGACCCTACCCCATTTCTCACCGATGGCCGCCAAGTCTCTTCTTGAAAGTCTCAAGTGACACTCAGCAAATGGGGTTTTATTTTGGGGGTGGGGGGGGTGGGGGCTTTATTAAACTGTCTTGGGCCGTTTGCGGGGTACGGTTGCATCGGCCCACACGGCGTGCAAACAGGCTGGTGAAATTCAGCTTTGACTCCCGGTGACGTCGCGGAGAAGGGCAGTCAAGTCTGGACTTGAGCGAGCAAAGCATTTATTTGTGGGTGAGTGTGTAAGTGTGCGTGCGTGCCCTGGGAAGGAGGGGGGGGCAGAATCTCATACCTTTTACACATCAGAGAGATGCCTTCGATGCCGATTCTTGTTTCGGCTTGTATATGGGGGCGGGGGTGGTGGGAAAAGGGTGTGTCATCTTGTGTGTTTTTTGCCCGTCGAAAATATCTTTACGGTTGGAACCTTTGAAGTTTTTAATCGCCTAGAACCGGATTCGAAACCCCGCGGCTCGAATTAGTCCTCGACTTACGGGCCGCAATGGAGCTCCAACTTTCCCGCTGCTGAGCGAGACGGTGGTTAAAGGAGGGTTGCTTCTCATTTTGCGACTTTTCCTGCGGCCGTCGTTGTTAAAGCGAATCCCCGGGCAGCTGTTCCATTAGTCGCGCGGTGTGTCAAGCGAATTCGATTCCCCGCGGTCAGAAGGTCGCAAAAGGGGGTCGAGTGACGTGGCGACGGTCGTAAATACGAGTCGGTTGGCAGGCGCCTGAATTTTGATCACGGGGGATGCTGCAATGGTCGTAAGTGTGGGAAACGGTCAAAAGTCACTTTTTTTCAGCGGCCGTTGTAATTTCAAACGGACACTAAATGTGAACTGTTGCAGTGAGTGGTGCAGTGGCTTAGAGGTGGAACTCACAATCGGGAGGCTGTGAGTTCGATCCTAGGCAGAGGCAGATATTTCTCTCTCTGGGCACAATGAGAATATATCTGCCGAACAAAACTCCGTACTGGTAACAGGAAAGGCATCCAGCCAGTAAAACATTCAGCTCCATTCAGTTGCCCAGACTCCACCTCGCAAGGGATTATGGGGTCGTTAAATGAGGATGATGATGATGACTCAATGAACTTGTAAGTCAAGGACTAGCTGTATTCTATTCCTTGCAGGTTTTTCATGTTTCGGTGTGTAACAGCAATTTGATCTCTTTTATATTTTATATTTATATATCGTTCTTTCTTTCAAACTGCACGACGCAATCACGGACCCAGAATTTCCCATGTTTTGGGGTGTGGCCTTTCTTTACAAAATTAAAAACCGTGTGTTACAGGTAACGCTGGATTTATGACTCTGTTTCTCGTGACGGTCGTAAAGCCATCGATTTTATGACATTTTTTTCCCCGTGACGGTTGTTAAGTGAATACCATAAACCCCGTGGTCATTAAGCGAACTGACGAATCGCGACGGGCACGGATTTTGCTGAAAACCAGAACGAAACGCACGAATGTGGGTTTTCACATCGTGACTCTGAATGGTTGCTAAGTGACAGGACGTAAATCAAAGAATTTGAGGTCTAGATTTTTTTTTTTTTAAAGAAATGGAAACGGAGGAAGATTTGTACCTATAGTTAAAAATCTACCTTTCAGGAATGCAAAATGACGTTTATTTTGCCCTAAAAACCCACTTAAAATATATGAAAGGTTGGAAGGTGGAATGTTCTAACCTAAAATGCATTTTAAATTTAAAGACAATTTAGCGTGACTCAAGCCAACTTCAACCAGAGTTTTAGGTGAAAATGGTAAAATTTCTATATATTGGTCAGCTCCCTTAAAAAAAAAAATAATAATAATCCGTTTTTCGAGCAGTTGCCGGGTGCGACATCCGATTTAATTAAAAAGAAAAGAACTAGAGTTGATTTAATCTGCTTTAAATGCTTCGCATTCTTTGTGATTTAGTTCTTGGGAGGACCAAAGTCTTAGCAAAGGATTATAAAGTAGGTTTTTTTTTTCCCCCTCTCCAAGGGAAGCATAATTGCCCCAACTCGGGTTTGATAATTCTTGGAAGCTGCTTTTTTGAAAAAGGAGATTTATTCTCTCCCAAATTCTGTGTGAAGAACGATGGATAAAAATCCATCTTCGTCTCGGCTTTAAAAACGCCCCCAATGAACGCAGAGACGCCACATAGAGAGATTAACAGATTAAACAGATTAACAGATTCAGCCGTTCGTCCATTTGTGTGTGTGTGTGGGTGGAGGGTGTCGAGGTTCGTTTTTTTTCCCCTCCACCTCAAGCACAAAGCCCAGAAATGGTTTCCAAGTCGAAATAAAAGTTTTTTATGTTTAATCTGAGCAGTTAATTTAGCTAACTTCGTCGGTTTTTGCAGCCGTTCGTCCATTGTGGGGAGGGTCGAGACGGGTGGGACTTTCCTAGTGGTATCTCAACCACGTTCAGCTCTGCTTGGCTTCTGGAGACGGCCAGTTGTTGACTCCACAATTGTCGATGGCATCCCTGCATTGTGAGGGTCATCGGTGACCAGGTGCGCCTTCGTCTTGCAGATTGTCCTGTGGGGACGGACGGAGAAATGCTTGAGGGAAGCCGCGCAGGAGATCCGAGCGATGGGCACCGAGGGCCACTATTTCATCTGCGACGTGGCCAACCGGGAAGAAGTTTACCGGCAAGCCAAGGCCGTCCGGGAAAAGGTGAGTGATTCCGTTGGTCTGCGGCCCAGAGAGAAACGCTGAGATGGGCCTTTGAACCCCTCCAATGAGCCACTGGATTCCAGGTCCTTCTGGCAGAGGAATTGGGACAGGCGACAAACCTCCAGTTACAGCGAACAATAGGGGGCTGGTTGTTAAGTGGTGCGGTCATTAAAGGAAGCATTCTATGAGCGCATCTGGTTTTATGACTTTCCTTCTAATTCATAACATCTTTCCTTCCTTCCTTCTTTCCCCATTCTTCACTTCTTTCCTTCCTTCCTTCCCATCCATCACATCTTTCTTTCCTTCCCATTCATCACTTCCTTCTTTCCCTTCCATCTTTCTTTCCTCCCTCCCTTCCTCCCTCCTTTCCTTCCTTCCTCCTTTCCTTCCTTTCTTCCTTCCCATTCATCACATCTTTCTTTCCTTCCCATTCATCACTTCCTTCTTTCCCTTCCATCTTTCTTTCCTCCCTTCCTCCCTCGGCTCCTTCCTTTCCTTCCTTCCTTCCTCCCTCCCTCCCTCCTTTCCTTCCTTTCTTCCTTCCCATCCATCACATCTTTCTTTCCTTCGTTGGTCTTTTCTTTCCTTCCCATTCATCACTTCCTTCTTTCCCTTCCATCTTTCTTTCCTCCCTCCCTCCCTCCTTTCCTTCCTTCCTCCCTCCCTTTCCTCCCTTTGCTCCCTCTCTTTCCTCCCTCCCTCCTTTTCTTCCTTTCTCCCTTCCCATCCATCACATCTTTCGTTCCTTCCCATTCATCACTTCCTTCCTTCCCTTCCATCATTCTTTTCTCCCTCCCCCCTTCCCATCCATCACCTTTCTTTCTTTCTTTCCTTCTTTCTTTTCTTTCCTTCCCATTCATCACTTCCTTCCTTCCCTTCCACCTTTCTTTTCTCCCTCCCTCCTCCCTTCCCATCTGTAACCTTTCTTTCTTTCCTTCCCATTCATCTCTTCCTTCCTTCCTTCCTTCCCTTCCATCTTTCTTTTCTCCCTCCCTCCTCCCTCCCTCCCTCCTTTCCTTCCTTCCTTCCCACCCATCACATCTTTCTTTCCTTCGTCTTTCCCTCCCTGTCCTTCCTCCCTCCCTCCCTCTTCCCTCCCTCCCTCCCTCCATTCCCTTCTTCTCTTCCTTTCTTCCTTCCCTCCCTCCCTGATATCATGTGACCCCTATTTACGACCTCCTTCCCTCCTCCCCCTTTCCAGGTGGGAGATGTCACCATCCTGGTGAACAATGCAGCTGTGGTTCATGGCAAGACCCTCCTGGACAGCGATGACCACGCCTTGCTCAAATCCCAACACATCAACACCCTGGGACAATTCTGGGTACGAACCTCAGTTTTCCCTTCGGGGGGTGGGCGGGCAGGCAGGATGGCCCCTGCTCTCCTGGGTGAGGAAAAGGCCCCCTCCCCCAAATAAAGCTGGTAGGTGCATCAAATTCCTCCCAACGTCTTCCCCATTGCAGGTAGTCCTTGATTTGACAGCTCACAGCTGCGGCAAGAAAGTTCTTAAAATCAGGCAAAACTCAACCTAACCACTGTCTCTTGTGCGCGTAGTGTAACCACTGCAGTGTGTAGCAATTGCGGCGAGAAAGGAGGGGGGTTAGAAGTGGTGCAAAACCCGCTTCGCAGCTGTCTCGCTTAGCCACCACAATTTTGGTGGCTCAGTTGCGGTCGTTAAGTCGAGGATTACCTGTAATAGATTCAGGGGGTTGGACTAGAAGACCTCCGAGGTCCCTTCCAGCTCTCTTCTGATTGATTGATTGATTGATTGATTGATTGAAATGGCCTAGGGTCTTCTGCTCGAGCAGGGGGTTGGACTAGAAGACCTCCAAGGTCCCTTCCAGTTCTGTTCTGATTGATTGATTGATTGATTGATTGATATTTAATTTTAATTTAATTTAATTTAATTTAATTTAATTTAATTTAATTTAATTTAATTTAATTTAATTTAATTTAATTTAATTTAATTTAATTTAATTTAATTTCCAATTTATATACCGCCCTTCTCCCTGAGGACTCAGGGCGGTGTACAGCCAAGATAAAAAACATAGAATACAAATATTAAAACATTTAAAAATATATATAAATTTTGGCCCGAAAGTTAAATTAGATTGATTGATTGAAATGGCTCGAGCAGGGGGTTGGACTAGAAGACCTCCAAGGTCCCTTCCAGCTCTCTTCTGATTGATTGATTGATTGATTGATTGAAATGGCCTAGGCTCTCCTTCTCGAGCAGGGGGTTGGACTAGAAGACCTCCGAGGTCCCCCCCAACCCCGTGATTCCATGTTCTACCTCAGGGCTCTCCAAATTTGGCAACTTTAAAACCCGTATGAACTTCAGTTCCCAGAGTTCCTCAGCTATCTGTCTGGAACGGCCTAGGCGGGTCTCCTGCTTGAGCACGAGAGGGAGGGGTCAGACTAGAGGACCTCCGAGGTCCCTCCCAACTCTATTTTTGATTCCTCAGACCACCAAGGCCTTCCTGCCACGGATGCTGGAACTGCAGCGAGGACACATCGTCTGTCTCAACTCCGTCCTCGCTTTGTCGGCCATTCCTGGCGCCGTGGATTACTGTACGTCCAAGTCTTCTTCTTTCGCCTTCATGGAGAGTTTGACCTTGGGTCTGCTGGACTGTCCGGGGGTCAACGCCACCACGGTCTTGCCCTTCCACACCAACACGGAGATGTTTCAAGGAATACGCATCAGGTGGGTAGCTGGTTGAATTTGGGCCATGACTTAAAAAAACCGTGCGGTTTTTTTTTCCCCAACTCTGGTTAAATTACGATCTCTGGACTTCAATTCCCAGAATTCCCCCATCCAGGTTTGCTTTTGGGGAATTCTGGGAGTCGAAGTCCGAGCGTCTTATATAACGTGGCCGAAGTTGAGAAACAATGAATTCAGACGTCTTTCTCTCCATCCCTCCGAGCAATTCGGGGAAAGAAACAAAAGAATGTCGGAATTTGAAGGACTTTTCGGGCACCGGAATGGGGGTCTTGTCAGACCGAAGCTTCAGCAAAGAGACTGTCTGACATTTTCTGTCCCCCCCCACACCCCCGGATGGTGTTGGCACCCCCAAAACAGCTGGTAGGGACAGTTCAGGAAAAGATTTGCCATATTTAGAGAGGAGGGAATGGGAAGAGAGATCAAAAATGTGGCCGGATCGATACAATCCACAAAACGGACTGTTGAAAAAATACAGGTCGACGTATGACCGCGACGGAGGCCCAGAATTTATCTTTGCTCAGTAAGAAATGGGTTACGTGAGTTTTGTCCCATTTTACGACTCTTCTGGCCATGTTTCTGAGGTGAATCGCTGCAGAGGTTCAACGAGTTCCCGCACTCGTTAAATGAACCCGGCTTTCCCACGGACTTGGCCCAGCTTCCGAAAACAGGTTTTTAGCATGTCGTGTGAACGCGAATCAAAAATACAGGCAGTCCACAGCTTACGACCACAATGGAACCCAGAAATTTAGGTTGCTAAGTGAGAAATCTGTGCGTTTTGTCTCGTGAAGCGAATCCCCTGCAGTTGTTCAATGAGTCAGACGGTCGATAAGTGAATCCATCTTCCCCCTTGACTTTTGTTGGTCAGAAGGTCGCCAAAGGGGGGGGGTTTGCATGACCACTGCCACCGTCATAAATGCGAGTCGGCGGTCAAACCTCCGAATGGAAATCCACCTGAATGATGGGGACCGCTACAACGGCTGTCTGTGTGACCTCAGTGCTGTTGTCAGACTTCGATGCTATCTCAAAATAAATGAATTTCCAAACTGCCAATCTTTAAGGAAATCTTTTCTTTAATTGAGCACAGCCACCGGATCATGACTCGATGCGGACGAGACTGACCTTTTGCCCCCCCCCAATCCCTCCCTTTCCGATCCCCAAATCTCTGCTTCTCACTGGCTATCTTCCAAGTCATTCTTCAGATTTCTTGTCTCGTCATTTCCCAGGAATGTCTCCCCCCTCCTCATTTCCACGACAACCCGGCTTCAAAGGGATTTAGCAGGCAAAAGTTCAGAGCTTATCTCTCTCTCCTCTGCTCTCTATGCCAGCGTTGAAGCGCTGACAGCTGTTGTAACTTTGAACGGTCGCTAAGTTGAGGACTACCTGTAGCAGGGGGCTAGAAGTCAGGCACAGGGGGTTCGCAGGGGTTCGGGAGAACCTCTAGCTAAGATTCGGTGTAGTTGAGAGAACCCCCAAATCCCACTCCTGGCTGGCACCACCCACCCCACCCCGCACCTCCCTGGAGTCCCCACACGGCCCATTTTGGATACAGGTAAGTGTAGGGCGCGTGCAGAGGCTCGGAGAGGGTGAAAAACGAGCCTACCGGAAGATCGGGAAGGCCGGAAACGGGCCTGTTTCCATCCTCCAGAGGGCCTCTGGTGCCTGGGGAGGCCGTTTTCACCCTCCTGGAGGCTCAAGGAAAGTCTCCGGAGCCTGGGGAGGGCAAAAAAAAGGCCTCCCCTTCCATGGTGCAGGAGGCCGACTAGGCCACGCCTACCATGGCCACACCCACTCAGTAACCAGGCAAAAAACCCCTTGTTTAACTTTTCGAAGCCCACCCCTGACAGGAGGAGATGTCCTTTTTCAGCTTTGGCTTTGATTTCTCCTCCAGGTTTCCCAATCTTTTTCCTCCCCTCAAGCCGGAGATGGTGGCCCGAAGGACGGTGGAGGCCGTCCAGCGGAACCAAGCTTTCCTCCTGCTCCCATGGACTATGCACATCCTCATTTTCTTAAAAAGGTACTTGGGGCGTCAAACGCGTCTCCTGAACCGGGACTTCAACATGGCCGACATCATCCAAGCAACCAGCAGGGGAGCGGGAGGGGGGAGTGGAGGCGGGGGGTGGGGGGTGGAGATAAACCCACCGGTGTTGCAGACCCTTGGAAGCAGGGGGTGAAGTCTGCTACCGGTTCTGTGAGTCTGCTACCGAGCACAGACTCCGCCTGAGGGGTGCCCCCCTCTCCCTACAAGACCCCCCCTCCCTTCCAGACCTACTTCATTGGGGGGGGGATCCCTTCCCCAAACAGACGGTTTGGAAGCTGCTGGAACTTCCCCTCCCAGTCTTAACATGCTTGCATTTCTGGGTGGGGTTCCCTTCCTCAACCCATCCGCGGAAGCCCACTCCCCTTGCTACTGAAAGAGGGAAGGCAGCCAAGTTGTTGAAAGCTGCTGGCTGCCCGCCAGAGAAGGCTTACCGCCACCCCATTCCTTGCCGCTTCTTAAAGCTGTCCTCTCCGCATCTAAAGGAGGAGTGGGCCAGAAACGAAGCCCCCACCCTAACTTTTACCCAGCCAATGGCTGCTTCCCAACAGGAGCTTCTGGAGAACCATTGTAGGCCAAGCAGGAGGGGTCCTTCAGAGCTCATCCAGCCCTTCCCAAGACTCTTCAATTTTCCACCTGGTAGTTCTAAGGAGGGTCTCCACCATCCAAGGTCCTGGTTCTCCCAAAGGGGCTTTGTTTCCCTCCCCAAAAAAAGGCCTTTCTTGGGTCCCCCACCCCTTGAAAATGTTTTGCTTCTCCTCTGGGAAGCTTCTGAAGGACTTCTACTGGACCTCCTGAGAAGCTTCTTGAAGGAGAAGCGCCCAAGAATGTCCAAAGATGGTTTTTTGCCTTTTTGAAAACCATCTTGGGTGAGTAGGTGGCTAAGACGCTGAGCTTGTCGATCAGAAAGGTCGGTAGTTTGGCGGTTCGAATCCCTAGTACAGGTCTCCTGGGTGAGCAGTAGGGGGTTGGACTAGATGACCTCCGAGGTCCCTTCCAGCTCTTTTATTCTGTATTTCCTTCCTTCCTTCCTTCCTTCCTTCCTTCCTTCCTTCCTTCCTTCCTTCCTTCCTTCCTTCCTTCCTTCCTCCCTCCCTCCCTCCCTCCTCCTTCCTCGTTTTGCTTCCCTCATTTCTCCTTCCTTCCTTTCTTCTCCCTTTCACTTTCTTATTCCTTCCTCCCTTCCTCCCTCCTTCCTTCCTTCTCTCCTCCCTCCCTCCTTGTTTTGCTTCCCTCATTTCTCCTTCCTTCCTTTCTTCTCCACCTCCCCTCTTCCTTCCATCCTCTCCCTTTCACTTTCTTATTCCTTCCTCCCTCCCTCCCTCCTTCCTTCCTTCCTTCTCTCCTCCCTCCCTCCTTGCTTTGCTTCCCTCATTTCTCCTTCCTTTCTTCTCCATCTCCCCTCTTTTCCTTCCTTCCTTCCTCTCTCCCTTTCACTTTCTTATTCCTTCCTCCCTCCCTCCCTCCAACTCCTTCCTTCCTTCCTTCCTTCCTTCCTTCCTTCCTTCCTTCCTTCCTTCCTTCCTTCCTTCCACATTTCTTCAGTTTTTTACATTCTTCTAAGAGGTCAACCCCAACTCATCTCTCGTTTCTTTCCTGGCAGCTTCTTCCCGCAAACGGCGCTGGACGAAATCCACCGGTTCGCCGGGAGCTACCAGTGCATGAATACTTTCAAAGGAAGGACCTAAACAACACTTGTTGACCATCAGAACCTTGGTCTCCTTCCAGGGATGGGCTCCTGTTCTCCTGGGTTGCGGCGAGGCCTCTGAAGGACGGGCCAGTCCATCCACCACGGAAGGCCCAACCCACCAGGGCTCCGTTATTTTAGCTTGTGAGCAGTTTAGAGATGTTCCTCAGCTTGGAGGCATCTCAGAGGGGTTCCATCACTTTGTTTTTTGGAGTCTCCCGGATGACCGAGGAAGGTCCGTTTTGGCTTCCACCACACCACATTTCCAGGCAGATGATGGCTCTCCTCGAGGTCCTTCTTTTGAAGGAGAAGGGAGCTTGGGTTGTCCTCTGCTGGTCCATCTTCACAGGAGATGTTCTAATTGAGAGGGCCTTCGAAGTTTCCATTCATTGGGATCTTACAGCCAAGCTGCCTCCAAACCACCACTGAAGAGCGATGAACGTTACGTGAACTTGGACGGAAACAGACTTCGGATGGTTCCTGGACGACTTCTCTGCCGTTGGGAGAGACCCAACCTACGTTTTCAAGTCGCGTAGACCCACATCCTCCGTCTGCGATGGTCGAGATGGGACGCTTGACCCCCCCCCGATGGAGACCTTCTCAGCTATTTGGGCCTGACTGGAGCAAGCTGGTGGGGCCAAACCCACAGGAGGAGAGGACCAGGCTGTCTCCTGCCTTGGACGGAGGGGGGGAGCGGGGTCAGACTAGACGATCTCCAAGGTCCCATCCAGCCCCTAAGAGCTCTGTAAATCTACAGGGAATTATCCATAAATCCAGGAAATCTTTCTTAAGAGTGTCTCGGCTTTTTGGCTCGTCGTGAAGAGCAAATCGGGGCGTGTGTGTGTTTGTACGTGTGCTTACAAATAGTCAAAGTTAGTCCTCGGTTTACGACGTTGCTGAGTGAGAAATCCGTTAAGCGAGCTTTCCTTAACGGAATCACTGTCCAATTGTGAAAGGAAGGGCATATCCGAGACCATAATCCCCGGATCAAACTTATTGGAGCTTGGTTTACTGCTCCGGGGGTTCCCTCTCCGTTGAGACGGACGCTCGCCAGGGGTCTTCCCACCTGTCTCTCGCCCGGTGGAGGAACAGGTTAGCCCGCCCGGGTGAAACGTTCAAACACAACCCCCCCCCTCAATGCTTGGCCGGCCCGGCCGGCCGCCTGTTCCCTGGGGCTAAATTTATCGGCTGTTTGGCTAACCCTGCTCTGAACTCCAGGCTGTGGCTCACGTGGGACGAGGGGTGGGGAGGGGAGGGGAGGGGGTGGGGAAGGGGGGGCAAGCCCTGCTTGGATTGTCTGCTCACCCTTTTGACTTGTAAGGGAAGAGTTGCAACTAGGAGGAAGGAAGGAAGGAAGGAAGGAAGGAAGGAAGGAAGGAAGGAAGGAAGGAAGGAAGGAAGGAAGGAAGGAAGGAAGGAAGGAAAGAAGGAGTGTGTTTGTGAGAGAGGGAGGGAAGGAGGGAGGGAAGGAAGGAAAGAAAATATGTGTATTTGTGAGAGTGAGGGAGGGAGGAAAGGAGGAAGGAAGGAAGGAGTGTGTTTGCGAGAGAGGGAGGGAAGGAGGGAGGGAGGGAAGGAAGGAAAGAAGGAAAGAAGGAAGGAAAATATGTTTATGTGTATATGAGAGAGGGATGGAGGGAGGGAAGGAGGAAGGAAGGAGAGAAGGAAGGAAGGAAGGAAGGAAAATGTGTTTGTGTGTATGTGTGAGAGAGGGAGGGAGGAAGGAAAGGGAAGGCGAGAGAGAGAGAACCAGAGAAAAAGAAAAAAAAGACTGAAAGGAAGAAAAAGAAAGAAAAGAACAGGAAAGAAAAAAAGACAAAGAAAAAAGGCAGACAGATAAAGGAGGGAAGGAAGGCGCGAGAGAAAGACAGAAAGAAAATGAAAAAAAAAGGCAGAAATAAAGAAAAACGACAGACAAAAAGAAAGGAAAAAAAGAAGACGGAAAGACAAAGAAGAAAAAGAAAGGAAGAAAAAGACAGGAAAGACAAAAGACTAGATAAACAGACACAGGAAGGGAGGAAAGAGAGAGACCGAAAGAAAGAAAGAAAAGAAAAAGGGAGGGGAGGGCCATCCGGAATGGAGGGTGTGTGTGGGTGGGGGGGGGGGTAGTAGTAGGGAGGGAAAACCCTAGGACTAGCAAATCCATTGTGTTGTTGCTGACAGGCCGAAATTCTTACTCCACACTTTTGCTGCCAAGTCCCTTCTGCCACTCCATCCATCACGGACGGGAGGGTCACCAGCGGGTGAAAAAAACGCAGCTCCGGCTCGTCCGGCTATTTTTGGCTACCCGAGATAAATGGGGCAGGAACCCTTGGTGGGGGGGGGGGGGGGGAGAGGAGGAGGTGGGGGAGACCTCTTCGTACCCTCATTAAAGTGTCAATCAAAGAGAGTAATGGGTCAGGAGTGGGGGGTGGGGGGTGGCATTGCTTGCTCCCAGCTGGCTGGCATTTCCCAGGAACCCAGGCCTGTCCTTGCAGGGGGGGGGGTTGGGGGGGGCACGGATTGGGGGGGGCTGAGGGGTCGGAAAAAAGTATGACGGGCATGGCTTGGTTGGGGAAGGGTTCAGATTTCCCCCTTCTGCTTAGCAAACTTTCACACGTAACGCAGAAATGGTGCTGGGGTTTATTTTTTGGGGGGTGGGCAATTTATTTATTTATTTATTTATTTATTTATTTGTTTGTTTGTTTGTTTAAATTTCTATACCGCCCTTCTCCAATATAGGACTCAGGGCGGTGAACAGCCAAAGTAAAAACAAGACATACAAAATCTAAAAACTGTTTAAAATAATTAAATATTTTGGCCGTAATTAAAACAATTCCAATTTAAAATCAGTTTAAAATTTAACTCAAGCCAGCCCAGTAGAGGCATTAAGAGAGGGATAATTTCAATATCCCCCCAAAAAGTGGGGCTCTATGGCTGCACAGGTGAGGCCACACACCTGCGTCCCAGTTTGGAAAGAAAAAGGATGTTGAGACTCTGGGGGGGAAGAGCGCAGAGAAGGGCGAACGAGAGGATTTAGGGGGCTGGAGGATGAAAACATACGAAGGAGGGTTGCAGGAATTGGGGGTTGGCTGGTTTAACGAATAGATAGATAGCAGTCTTCCAATATTTGGGTGGGGGGCTGCCATGGAGAAAATAGGGGGGGGGACAAGTTATTTTCCGAAGCACCGGAAAGCAGGACAAAGAAGCAACGGATGGAAACTAACCCAAGGAAGAGAAGCAACTTGGAACGAAGGAGGAATTTCTCGACACTGAAAACGATTCATCAGTGGAACAACTTGCCACCAGAAGTTTGTTATTTGTTCTGTCAATGGCTTTCTTTCCCTTTGCATAGTAGTACTTTTAACCTCCACCCCCCACCCCAAATTTGGGAGCCAAAAGCAATACAGAAGAACAGAGTTGGAAGGGACCTTGGAGGACATCTAGTCTAACCTGTCCTGCTCAGACAGGAAGGGCCTATACCATTTCAGATAAATGGTTGTCCAATCTCTTCTCGAAAGCCTCCAGGGATGGAGCATTCGCAACTTCTGGTGGCAAGTTGTTCCAGGGGTTAATTGTTCTCAAGTGTCAGGAAGTTTCTCCTTCGTTCCAGGTTTCTTCTCTCCTTGATGAGTTTCCATCCGTTGTTTCTTGTCCTGCTTTCTGGTGCTTTGGAGAAGAGGGGGACCTCCTCTTCTTCTTTGGGGGCAGCCCCTCAAATATTGGAAGATGTCATCGTGTCCTTCTTTTCATCAAACTAGCTGGAATTTTTGGGGAAGGGACAAAATAATAATAATAATAATGGGGGAAAGGAAGGTATTTTAAGCGAGGAGTCTTGGCTACGCTCTGTTTACTCACTTAGTAATGAGGTGGAGATGCCAATGTCAACACAAGAATGTCCAGCAAAACAATTCTTGCCGGAATGGTTATTTTACAGAAATGCAGCGAGTTTTGGCCGTTGGCTCGTGGCCGCCTCTTATCCGACGGCTGCCAAAAGCGGAATGCATCCCCCCCCGATCCCTCCCTGGCGATCACTACTTTTTTGGCTCTCCGGATGAATTCTTTTGCAGGTATGTTCGATCCCAGGCGCGAGACGTCCTGTTCTTTTTTTTGGCTTCGCGATGCTGGTGGCGGAGACTTGCCAAGTGCCTGTTGCGGAGGAGCAGCAGGAGTCGCGGAGGGGGGGGGGAAACGGAGGGTCTGGTCCTCTTTCGGTACCAGCTGGCTGGCCTCGGCCTGGCACGTCAGCCTGAGTCGATGGATTGGAACAGAGCTGAAAGGGAGGTCTTCTAGTCCAGCCCCCTTCTCGTTTTATCCTGTCCCACTCTTCCAAAATCCAGCCTTCTCCTTCTCGTACCTGGAGACTGTCTGTTCGAGAAACACGCCCGCCTACCTTAAAATGAAGCTCTCCACCTGCGAAGTTGCCGATTGTCCAGGCCGGCAGCTTTTTTTTTCTGGGGGGGGGGGGGAAGGGGCTCTCCCCCCATTTCCGAAGATGCATTCCGAAGTTCTGCATTCTTTCCTACCTCCTACCCCTTCACCACCACCGGCCACGTTACGTCAAAGTCGACTACTGTGGAAATAACCCAGCGGTGGGAATCATCCGGTTCGGATGTTGATTTTAATCTGGTCCGCCGAACCGGTTGTTCCAAGGACTGGCTGACCCCGCCCACCCCGGCTCTCCCCTCCCGGAAGTCTCCACATGGCCCGTTTTGGATGCCAAGTAAGTGCAGGGCGCAGGTGGAGGCTCTGGAAGGGCGAATTCCGGAAACGGCCCTATTTCCAGCCTCCGGTGCCCGGGGGAGGCAGTTTTTGCCCTCCTGGATGCTCGAGGAAAGCCTCCGGAGCCTGGGGAGGGCGAAAACAACCCCGCAACCCACTGTGGTACAGGCGGCTGAGTAGGCCACGCCCTCCCCCCCAGCAACCAGGCAGTGAAGTGGTTGCTGAAATTTTTCAATCCCACCCCTGAAATAACCGCAAGATTGCAAGAAAAGCCGTGGTGTGTGTGTGTGTCGGTTTTTTTGTTTCTTTTTTAATGAATCCTCAGGATCAAGATTTGCAAATATTACATTTATAAACCGACGTTCTCGTTCGGTCTCCTTAAAACTCCTCCCACCCGCTCACCTCGTCTGGGATGCCGGAAAGGAAGGATTGAGCGGGGGATCCTCTCCCAACGCAGAGAAATCAGCACCCCCCACACCACCCGTCTTTGGCCCCCAGATGCCAAAATAGAGACCCCCCCCCACACCCCCACGATTCTGACCAGGGATGGAGGCTGAGGGTCCTGTCCCCGTCTACCCCCCTTGTTTTTCAAGACATCCGGCCTGCCTCTTTGCCGCTTCCAGCGAAAGGAAGGAAAAATAGAAATAAAAGTGGCTTCCCCTCCCTCCCGCAAATTGCTCAAAATTCAGTGCAATATAACTTTTTTTTCCTATCATTTCTTTACACGGAAAAAAAAGAACTTTTGTACAATCTCGACGGCGTGTGTGATAAAGTGTGCAGATAGATGCACATTGTCTACACATCATACACACACACACACACAAGTATACATATATATATATATATATATATATATCTCACACTATATATATATATACACACACACACACAAATGGTTAAGAAAATATCACGGTTTTTTTTTTTTCCTCCTAAGGGGTCTCGGCTGTTGGTGTAAGATTGGGGTTTTTTTTTTCTTTTTGTCCTGCAGAGTTTTTTGGGCTTCTGTGCCTCGCCCGAAACTTTCTTAGGGGCTCCGAATCTCCGAGGGTGAGCCGAGGGTGTGATGGAGGGGCAGGGCGTGGCCCACATT